CGCATGGAGGTCTCGACTCTTTCCCCGGGACCGTTCTTTGACAGTTACGGGGCCTGGTGAGGGCTCCCGCCGAAAGCGGTCCACATACATCCGCCGTATGTTTTCAACGACGCGATGGGAGCCCGAAATCTGCCGAAGCCAGCGCGATGCCCCCCAAAGCGCCAAGGGCCAATGTTTGGTGGCGAGCGAGGTGGAAATGAGAAGGAGAAGGCCTTCTCAGAAGGCGGCGGGACTGCTCAGAAGCCCTCGCGCCTTCTGAGAAGTGTTCTGTGTCTTCGGGGGAGGCTCAGAAAACTCCTCAGAAGGCCGGGGGACTTCCGAACCTCCTGAGAGGGGGGCTCGGACTCCTCTCGTGTCTCCCTGCCTGTGTCGCGGGTCAGCCGTTGGGGCGCTGCTGCCGCGCGGCTGGTGGCCCCAGTTGTGCTCCGTGGTGGGTCGGTGCGACTCGCCCGCTGCGATGGGGAGCATTTGCTAAGCGTGTCGCGGCGGCGGCCCATGGCTTAGTGGGTCCCGGAAACGGCAGGGCCGTTTTTTCACCGTTTCCGAAAAAGCGTCCCTTGAAACTGGAAACGGCAAGAAAACGGCGACTGGAGACGGCAGCAAAAACGGCTCCAGGAGTGGAACCGGAGCCGGAACCGGTCAAAAAACGGCGACGGAACCGGAAAACAAAACGGCGTCGGAACCGGCAACAAAACGGCAAAACGGAACCCGTAACAAAAACGGCCCTGTCGCTTCCAGGGCCCACTAAGGCCCATGGCGACACACTGTGCCCCGCAGGCGGGTAGCGTGTCGCGCTCCAGTTCGCGAGGCGGGAGGCCGGGAACCTCTCGGAGCGCGCGGATGCTTGGGGACTAGGACTAGATCGGGCCTGTCCCCCTACGGGGGGATTTTGGACGGAAAGTAAAACATGGTCAAACAATGCCCAAACATATCCAAAAATAGTGAAGAAATCGTCCCCAGACTATTTTTTCCTATTTTTGCATATCCCCCCTGTAGAGGGACATGCCCGCCTTGAGACCAGGACGTGGGCGGCGCGTCGCGCCGAAGCGTGCTGGACCGGAACCGCCGGAGCGACGCGCGGAGCCAAGGTTCCAAGCCATAGGATTGCACTTCCCAGGTTCGGCGGTGGACAAACCTCCCTTTAGTAAACCTCCCCTTAGTGAGAACGGCCTGGGACCGAAACCGACGGACCTGGACCCGCAAAAGTAACGGCCGCGACGCCTTCTCGCGAACCGAAAACGGCCAATTCCTTAATCGACGCGTCAGGGTAGGAGGTCTATCCACCTCCGATAATAGGTTCACGAGGGGCGAACGTGTTCACGTCCGCGCCCTCGCGGTCCGGGTTTCGGGGCGCGAGCCCGTGGGTGCGCGGTCGCGCGGATGCGCTCTGCGCGGGGCGTCCGCGAAAAACGCTCCGTGCCCCGGGGGGCCGCGGCCCAGGGGCCCGACCCGCGAGGCCGTGGATATGGGTACTATATGCTTTCCGCCCATCACGTGTTGCGCCCCACGTGTTGCCCCCCGCAGGCTGCAAGGAGGCACCACTTTTTGGGGTCCACGCGGTGGCATCATTTCACAACGCGTCTGTGCTCGAGACTTAGATGCGCGTTATGCGCATTCAGACACCACGAATCTGTAGGACCTCCCGAGCGATAGCCAATCAAATTCAGACGCGCTCTCTGGAAGGAGGCCTCTGAAGGCCCCAGAAGCCTCAACAAAGTTCTCCGAAGTGGCAGGAAGAGCCCAAAATCCTCGAGCCTCGATCCTCGAGGTCGAACTTCCGATCGCCATCGCGCCGCCGCTGCTGGCGGCGTCGGCACGATCGGGCAGATCTACCCGATGGGCTACCCGATCTATCCGAAGGGCTACCCTTGGCGCGCGGCTATAGGGGCGCGGGGGGGAGGGGCCAAACCCAATCGCGCAAGCCGCTGCCATCGCGCCGCACCCAGCGATTGGGGGACCCCCTGTGGGCCCGCATCCAGAGCTCCCTCCCGCCCCCCTGGAGGCGAAGGGCCACCCTCCCGCGCAGCCGAGGCCAAGAACGCTACCCTGTGATCCGGCGTCACCAAATCTGCAACACCGCAGGAAATCACGTCTGGAGCCCCGGATCCCTCTTTCTGCGCTCCTTGTGGTGCCGGATCGATCTGTGAGGGTCCTGGTGCCCGAAACAGAAACACAAAAAACGGCTTAAACATACACTGTCGCCGGTCTGCGCGGATTTCTTGGATTCGCGCTGGACCCCCTCCCTGGCGCGCGGAGCGCGCCAGAGGCGGCGCCGGAGGCGCCGCCAGGGAGGCCCAGCGCAGATCCAAGAAATCCGCGCGGACCTCCGACAATCTATGTTTCTGACTTGTTTGACGAAACCCGGCCAAAACATCCGTCGCGAAAAAATTTGCAACGCCAGGAGGTGAGTGTCGCACGCCACATCTCACTCGCTCGCGGCCCACGACGGCGCGCGACGGCGACGGCGACGGCGACGCCGACCCTCGCGCGCCAGCGGGGC